ATTAATGTGAATGTTAACATGTCAATGTGAATATTCACATTGTCAACGGGCCGGGCCCGCCCTGGCTCGCGGGCGGGTTTCGGGCCGCCCACGGGCCAATTTACATTCCTACAAATATGAATTTTAAAATATGAATGTTCAAATCATTAAATTGCTAATCGTTGAAAAAATATTTATAAGGGTATCAAAATTAAATATAAGGGCATAAGTGTCAAAGAAAATAGTGTAAATCAAGAAAATGGACTTTATGGAACAAAACTATACATACATGGGACTAAATGGGTTAAAAAATTCCTTCATGGACTTCTTGGGTTAAAACACTTCTAAATTGGACTTATCAATAAAAATCTCATTCCAATATAATGGTGATGTGTATCATTATTGACATGCAAACATAATTAATCTCAATAAAAATATAGAATTTATTGAATTGTTAGTTACATTTGACATGCAGCGTTCATTCTCCATGTATTTCTTTACTATTGGTTGGTGATATCACATGCTAATAATGACGTGGTATAACTATTATATTGAATTTTTACGCATATTTTGTATAAAAAATTACTTTATCATTATATAATTTATTTTAAAACTTTATATCCATGACTTTTTTTAATATTTTCCATGATACACTAATTACAAATAATATTTAGCTTATTTGGTTCTAGTTTTCAAAAAATTCTACATTTTTATTTTCCGTATTTTAATATTTTCAATAAATTTTTTTAATATTTTCAGAAAAAAATTTTAATTTTTAAACGCACCTAACATAAATATACCTAAAAAGTATAATATTTTTGAAAAAAATCTTTAAAAAAATACACTAATTACCAAAAAATATAAAAATAATATGAAAATTCAATACATTTCTTGTATTTTTGTATATTTATTAATTTTTAAAAATATTTTTTCACAAATATTTTACTATTTGGATACATATCTAAGTAATGTGAATCTAAAAAAGTAAAAAAAAAATTTATTTAAAATTTAAAAAATATTCACTAAAACCAAAAAAATACAAAAAATAAATAGTTTTCAGAAAACTGAATTCAGAAAACTATAACCAAACACACTGATTATTATTATTATTATTATTTTATTTTTTTTATCTTTCTTGAAGTTAATGGTAAAAATTTATGTGAAATATTTTTATAAAAAATTTTAATAGTGTAATTAATAAGTGCCTCCTCTGATTTAATTTCTTGGCTCCGCCACTAGACCTAAGTGTAGATTAAAGAATTTAAGGAAAACTGAGAGTGATTTTCAATAAATAAATCAAGATCTTTGTTGTTTTTTGTTTTCTTTTTTTTTTCTTTCTTTTTTTTTTGGGGGGAATGTTATTTAAAAAAAGAAAAAGAAAAAAAAGGATTGACTCCAATAACAAATTAAATTCTAACTTTTTAATTATTTCAATTTAAACTTTTAAATTTTAAAATTGTATCAATTATAACTATTTGCTAGTTATAACTAATGGAATAAAGACAATTTAGCTAATATAATCACTTTTGATCGGGGGTGTTAGGCGACGGTAGTAGCCATGGATTAGGAGTTTATGAGACAAAAACAACTTTAATAAGAAAAAACTAAAGAGTGGCAGTGGACCAATAAAAAGGATGAAACAGTGACAGTAGGTTAAAAAGGAGAGGAAGCCGTGATGGACGATAATAAAAGTGAGAGATATGTATTAACAATAATAAAGGGAAAAAGTAGTTAAATTAGTTAAATTGTCTAGTTTTAGATGCAAACTGATAATTATAATTGATATCATTTTAAAAATTTCGAGTTTAAACTGAAACAATTAAGAAGTTGGGGTAAAATTTATGTACAAGGTCAAACCTTGGAGGAATTTTTTGTTTCCACTCTTAAGTACAAGGTAATGCAACAACAATATCAAAACACACAACGCAACAAAACAATTTTTAGTATTAGTTTGGCTTAGCTACAAAATAATAATAATAAAAAAATAAATAAATAACAGTTTTTTTTGTAAAATATATGTCTAGTGAATTTCTTTTTTCTTTTCCATTTAAGATTTTGTTTATGTGTGAATTAGGACACATGTTAAGAAATTTAAAAAGAATTGTACATTTTATGTAAAAATGTATGTGATAAAGAAAATTCAATATTTTAAAGCATTGTTAACATGGGCATGCATGACACACGTTAGTAAAACCCTTTTATTTATTAGTTTTTATGAACATCTAGACTGAAAGAGGCTAAAAAGATTTTTAAAAAATAAAAATAAAAAAATTCAGTTAATAAAATTGCTTACAAGTGAGAACACATGAACATTTGACCTTCCAACTGAAGTTGTTTAGTTAATACCATTGAACCAAATAAGTATTCTTAAAAAAAAAATCTAGTAGGATTTTTAAAAAAAAATAAGAGTAAAAAATTCAGTAAATAAAATTGCTTACAAGTGAGAACACATGAACATTTGACCTTCCAACTGAAGTTGTTTAGTTAATACCACTGAACCAAATAAGTATTCTTAAAAACAAATCTAGTAGGATTACTTAACGTGAAGCAAAAAGGGTAATATGAAAGCAAAATATAAAAAAAAAAAAAAATGAAATAAAATAAAATAGAATAAAAAAAAATTAAAAATTAAGGGAAATAGAAAGGGACAGATGGCCTTCCTCCCTTGACTGTTTTCAAAATCCTCGCGAGGGTGGACTTTGACCATTACTTTTCCAACCTCTTCTTGGCTGGCTGATTGCCTCTCTCTCTCTCTCTCTTCCAACCTCTTCTTGGCTGGCTGATTGCCCCTCTCTCTCTCTCTCTCTCTCTCTCTCTCTCTCTCTCTCTCTCTTACTTTTCAATGTCCTATTTTTTCTCCAAAATAATATGGCAAATATTGAAGTATGCAATATATCTATACTATATATTAAGTAAAATAATGATTTTTAATCTCAAGACCTGTACGAGTTTCAATATCTCAATTTAAATTTTCTAAATTTCTTATTAAAAAAAAAACTCAACATTTATTGATTTGGTCAAAATCTCCTGATCAGCATTTATTAATTTTTTTTCAATCCATATATCTTTCTACATACCTGCATTTATTGATTTGGTCAAAATCTCATGGTCAGCATTTAAAATCTCCTCATACAAATAATTATAGATACAATCTGTGTATAGTTACTGCAGTACTCTTTTTAACTTCTCTCATACACTATGGTTAGTGATAAGATTATTAAATTATTTTTATAAAAAATCTTAAAAAACATAATTCATATATTAAAAAAATCTGAAACAAATATAAATATTTATAATTATCCCATGCATATCACGGGTGATAGGCTAATAAAAATTTATATAAAATGAGGTGGTGATGGTATTTTTACAACACCAATATTTGATGATTACAATTATTTATTACAAGAATTTTAGAAAAATGTTATATAAAGCATGAATCTTAGAAAAATGTTATTTTAAAATGTATGGTGAATTTTTAAAATTGGTGGAATGTGGCCTATAAACAAAATGAATGTGATCCACTAGATATATATATTTTTTGAGGAACTTTTATTAGAAAATAATAATTTTCTAGAATATTTTTTTGAGTAATTTTTTTAGAATATTTTTCTCGTGGGAAAATGGTAAACTACCAAATTTCTTATACATAATTTATTACAGGAAAAAGACAATAACATATTTTTGTAAATTATTTTGGAAATGATGGATATAATTATGTTTTTAAATGAAAGGATCATAATTTCTCATATACTTTATAATAAGTTTTTTTATTTATTGAATCTTCCTTCTCTTAAGTTTAAATTTAAATTTGAATTCATTAAAACTGTTTGGGCTCATGTAACTCACCATATGTCACGTTTTGATAATTTAAATTATTCATTTTACAGAGCACTCTATGTATATTATTCGTAAAAAAATTTACATTGATCCAATAATCATAACTTTTTCATTATATCATGTTTGTCTTCAAAAAAGTAATATTTTATTTTTAAAAATACATTTGTCGTTCATTTTTTTTGAAAATAAACACAATAAAATAAAAATACTATAATTATCAAATCAACTTAATTTTTCTTATAAATAATATAATAGTTCCAATAAAATAAATGATTCAAATTATCCAAAAATTAACCACAAGTGAGCTTCACATACTCAAACAACTAAAAAATTATTGGTTTGGTTAGAGATATTACGTGGCCATACCCTTGGCCAATTATAAATTCTCATACTTCCTCGTATTTTTTAATCACTTAATACAAAATCGTAAACACAATCCTCTTTACTAATCAAAACACACATGAAGCACCAAGTAATTGTGCCCAAAACCAATGAATTACTTTTCCAAACAGTTGTCTTTGTCAATTACAATGTGAACTCTTTTAACTTTAAAATATATATAAATGAAATGCAATATTTTATGGGGAAATATATGTGTGGATTATGTTTGTATAAGAATCCCCAAAACGAACTGTTCTCTCAACTTTACTACTTTTCAAGCTCCCATTTCCCAAACATCTCTCTATCTCTCTCCCCCACCAAACAAGAAGCAGGTGGGGTATACATTACAACTTCCTTCCATGGTCATCTTTTACCTCCCCTTTTCTACTTTCAAGACCCTCACTCTCTCCTCTCTCTAGCAGAGCTTGATTCTTATACACCAAACCATTATCTAAACTCCAAATAGACCCTATCGTCTTACTCTCCCCTTGACAACTTCCTTTCATTGGTTGGATCTTCACCTCACCTCACCTCCCCTTTCTACTTTTCAAGACTCTCTCTCTCTCTCTCTCTATAGCAGAGCTTGATTATAATAGTAGAAGCCTGACCTATGATCTAAACTCCAAAGACCCTGTCCTCTCTCCATATAGACAAGTTCATTTGTTTAGCTTCCAAGTCTCCTCTCTCTCCCTCTCTCTATAGTTGATATTAGTATATGTAATAAGGAGAGATAAACAGATCCAAAGGGCTCTCATGCAGCAACAATCCTAGCAATTGCCATGGACTCCATCTTCCACCTTGATGATGGAGCCCGTGCCAGATTTCTCCAAGAGATAGTCCACTCTTTTGGCTTCACTTACATTTGCCTCTGGTTATATGTCCCCCAACCATCCCAGTACTTCCTCTCTCTCTCTCTCTCCCCATAATATATGTATATGCATGCATATCACGATTATGTATTGGGATTTTGAATTTCTGATACTGATACATATCAGTCAATACTATTTGATATTAGCTGATATATAATTGTAAATTTATAATGCTCATATTGATGCCTAACCCTGATTCTTTTTATTTAGAACACATGATGTATATACAATTTTTTCACTTACGGTTTGAGGATGATGATCTTCACAGCTGTTTGATCTCCATGGATGGATTCCACAATGAAGAGAACAAACAACCCAGCTCCTCCTCAGGAAGTGTTGCGCGGAGGCTCTTCGATGAGTATCGACAACGGATATTCAATTTTCAAAACGGGTATGACACAAATCTTGAGGACAATCAGTTAGTAAAACAACAAATTAAATTGTTTTCTATAGTTACATATATATATATATATATATATGCATTGTAAAATGCATTGGTGTTTTTGTTGTTTCAGCCGGGTTCCAGGAGTTGTTTTCAAGAATGGTCTTCACTACATGGAGCTCAAGGAATTGGAACTTCAAGGACTAGCCTCTGTCGATGTACAATTGCAATTCTATCGGGTAATGGCGGATATATGCTTAATAACACAGAATAATTCTTAATTTCATTTTGTTTTTAGTTTCTGTATTCGTAACAAAACTGTAAGTTATAACAATGACAGCACGATGAGAGAAGTTTGGCTAACTTGGTGTACTCTTTTGTTTTTGATTGTTTCAGGAAGCTAGGATCAAGGTTTGTGCGTTCAACAACAATCAAAAGTGTTTTGTTCTTGAGCCATATATAATTGTAAAAAAATGTGATCTCATGATATTATTTGTCTTTACAGACTGCTATATTTATGGGGTGCACGACTGGAGAGATTGAGCTTGGCATGTCTAATGATCCTCAAGTAAGTCACCCTACATCACATTTTTCAGAACATGTCTAATTTGTAGATTTATTTTTTGAAACTCTCGCAGATATAAGCCGATTCCCAATACATGTCAATTCATAGTCATTTGATTGATAGTTGATGCTACTAATACAATCTGTTCAACTGCTAATATATTTATATGGTGAATGATATTGATTCATCTCTTGAAATTTAACATGACTCAAAATGCACTTGAAATTCTTACTAATTATGGTTTTCACAGATGAACTTGGAAATGGAGATGAAGAACTGGTTCCTAGAAGATTTCTCCCGCCCAGCGCGGCCGCCCATAGAGCTTCCTCCCCATCCGACCGATCAAAACCGCCCTTCATCATCTTCATCATCCTTACGATCGCTCTCCACAGACAGCCCCGAGCCCTCTCCTTTCCTCTTCAACATCCCAAGCACATCCTATCTTCCAGAACCACCCATGGAATCAAATATCGAACAAGCACTGAGGCCAATATCCACTTCATCGATTAGTCCCCTTGAACATACCACACAAGCTTTTCGCCACATCCTAAACCCTCAATTCCCATCACAACAAGAAAGCAACGAAGCTTCAGCAATGGCTAAAGCATTCCTCACAGTTATATCTTCTTCTGCTTCTCCATCTTCTTCTTCTTCGTCACATCAACGACTGCCACAAACTGTGCCTCCAAATTACCCGTTGAGCCAAAAGACCGGCGCGTTCAAGAGTTATAGATCGAGTTTGGGAGCTTTGACACCTTTGACGGCTAGAGCTCGAAGGCAGAATTTGCAGAAAAGAGCAATTTCTTTCTTTAGAACATTGAGTTTGATGAAAATTCAAGAGAGAGTGCAAGGAACCAGACCCACAAGCACTCAGTTACACCACATGATCTCAGAGAGGAAGAGGAGAGAGAAGCTCAATGATAGCTTTCAGGCCTTGAGATCACTACTTCCTCCCGGAACAAAGGTACTACTGTATATGTTATTTATATAAAATTTATGCATACTGATTTATATATATATATATATATATATACAAAATTTGACAGGAGAATAATGTGAAAGTAGTACTTTTATAATTAAATGTCATTTGAATAGATACTTTGTTTTAAAATCATAAATCTCAATACAACCACAGCATTCTATATATTAATTTTGTATATTTCTTTTAGTTTGTATATATTATTCTCTCCATACACTTACAACTCGAAATTGCACTAAATATTTTCAATCATAAATAATTTTATAATTAAATGTCATTTGAATAGATACTTTGTTTTAAAATCATAAATCTCAATACAACCACAGCATTCTATATATTAATTTTGTATATTTCTTTTAGTTTGTATATATTATTCTCTCCATACACTTACAACTCGAAATTGCACTAAATATTTTCGATCATAAATCAGTAATTCATAACTGGCAAGATTTTAGGATTAGGCTTTTCTCCGGTCCGTTAATCAGACTAGTGGATTTTGTTTAGGATTACGAACTCAATTTAGATTTGTTTCAGTAATTTAAATTATTCATTTTGTAAAGTTTACTGTGTAGATCATTCATGCATCAAATCTGATTGATCAGATATCGGTAACTAGACAATCATTTGTCTTAAAAAAATGAACGGCAACTGTAATTTCAAAAATATATTGTTATTCTTTTTAAAAAAATTGTGATTCAATCATGTAGCCACCATATCTGATTAATCTGATTTTTTATAAATAGACCCTATAAGATAAACAGCTTGATCACTAAAATGGGTCCGGAGTTAACCGTAGACCCAACTAGAGCCTCCAATTCATGTCTCAAGTTTCAAATTAGACTATACCAAATTAATGTTTCATATCAAGAATGAAGTGACACTGGCATAAAAAAATTTAAAATCATCAAGTGTAAAATTCTATTTTTCTTCATAACAGTCGAACCAGTATCCGAAAGCCAAAAGACTAATACGTAATACCCGATATGTCAACCATGAGACACACCATATTATTATCCAAACACTAATGTGAATTTTTCATTTAAATTGTACAGAAGGACAAGGCATCAGTGCTTGCTGGCACAACTGAGTACTTGACATCTTTGAAAGCTCAAGTTGCAGAGCTCACTAAAAGAACTCAGAGCTTGGAGGCACAGATTTTGCCTCCAAGAGAAGCAAATGAAGAAGTGAGTGTGCCCTCTTCATCATCATCAAATCAAAGGCTAGATGTTCTAATCACAAATGTATCTGAACTAACATCAGAATCAAGAATCATAGACTTGCAAGTGATTGTGAGAAGAGATTGCAACATGTTGGATTTGGTGATTCGGATCATGGAGTTTTTGAAGCAAGTTAAGAATGTCAATTTGATCTCTGTCGAAGCAGATACAAGAGTGGTAGAAACAAATTCTATCAATCGTGTCGTGTTGAGATTGAGAATTGAGGTATGTAAGACAAGCTTGTATATATAAATGTCTAAAAAAGTGTTATAAGTCATCGATTTTTTGTTACTGTTTTATATGGTATTTAAGTACTTTTAACAATTTTATTATAGTAGAGCCACGCATGGTATTCTAAGCATAGTACACAAACAAAATAAGTTTTTATTATTATTATAATTTATTTATTGATATGACATACATTTAAAATGGGACCGCTCTAGTAATATGATAAGTGTCCCGTTAATAAATTAAAAATGTTTGTAGAATTTATTAAGTTGGGTAGCATTGCACAATAGCCAAACACTACAATAGGACAAACATTTCAATAGGACAAGAAAGAGTATGCATATAATTCTAAGAATCGTACACAATGGAATTTTCGCATTTGAACAGCAAACTAGTCCAACCAAAAAAAAAACAACAACAAACATGCAGTACAGTAATAGGGTACAAGTTTTTTTTTGTTTTTTGAGAAGAAAAAAGAAAAGTAGCAAAGACCCTTTTGAAATGTTAAAGGCTATGGAGGTAGAAAAGAAGTTTGAAAAGTTGACAATAAATAGATTCAGAATGAATCTGGTTCAGAGATTTTCAAATGAACACTTTTCATACTATTTTTTCTGAACACTTTTCATTGTATTTTTTCTCTCCTTAGCAAATAAATTTTTAAAAAACATATAAGCTAAAATGAAAAGAAAAGAAAGCTAGTTTACAATGATGGTAGGCCCTTCAAATGATGAACTCTTGTTTTTATTTCGACATTCCCTTCAATAATGGGTGGTTGTATTAGTTTTTTAAATTAATTTACTTTCTAGTAAAGTAATCAACTTCGGAGTTTTATTCATTCATGTAATCATTTTTTGCGACTTAATGCATATGAAAAATTTTAAACACATAGAATTTAATTATAAAATTAAACATAATTTTTTATTTTTTTATTTTTTTTATATGAGGTGAAATTTATTAAATATAAATTAAACACATTTTTTTATTTTTTTTATTTATATGAGGTGAAATTTATTAAATATGTAGATTTCATTTTCAATTTTGTAATGTTGGAAATTACGAGGAAGGAGACAAGAAGTGACAAATTATAATATTTGAATCTTTTTTATTAATTTCTTCTTTTGTGTATAGGGAGGTGATTGGGATGAGTCTTCCTTCCAAGAAGCCGTGAGAAGGGTGGTTGCTGACCTGGCACAGTGACAGTTGGACCCATCCAGCACTTGACACCTGTACTACAAGGAGAGGGAGAGGAATTTTACAACTATATACCATCTTTAATATATATACCACTTCATGTATTAACTCATCATTAGTATAATAGATGTCACTACTCATTTTTATCTCTAATAATATGTTAACACATGAGGCGGTACATTGAAGATGATAAGTATAGCATTACTCGTTTTGTGGCGGCACCATATCGTAGCCGATGGTGGTTCACCATTTTCCCGCCATTTGATCATTAGAAATCACAATCTTGTACTATTGTGATGAGTTTCATCAACCAAGTCAGTGTAACTAGGTTTGCACATTTTTGATAGTGATCAATAGATAAAGCAATGTATACTTTGCTTATTGGAAATAGATTAATTCCACAAATGTATGATTTCCTTTTTGAGTTGTGATAACATAATTAAAAGGGAGATTTATTAAGTTTTTTTTTTTTAGAGTTCTTTATCCCAATTAATTCATAACATATTCTTATATTCCAATAAATCTTATTATTTGAACATTTAATTCATTAAATCTTAGTTCTTATATTTAAAGTATTTTATGAACAATTTTACCCTTACAAATATTTTTTAAACATTTAGCAATTTGGTGATGTGAACATTTATATTTTACAACGTGAATATTCACATTAATGTGTGAATGTTCACATCACGTAACATTCATACTGTCAAGGTGAATATTATTATTAGGGGTATTTAGGTAACTATGTCACAATAGAACTTATTGGAATATAAGAAAATAATTTAAATTAACTGGAATATAAATAGATGAAGAGAAATTTATGAATAAGTGTCCCTAATTGAAAGGCACGGAATTCTCTATTTCTTAAAAAATTTAATTTTTTTCTATACATTTTTTATTACATGATTGTATTTGGAAATGAGATAGACTTGTCTCCACCATTCAATTAAGAGACTGTGAGTCGACTTCGGGCCTACTTTAATGATCTAACCTGTCATTTTGTAAAGCTCACCAAGCAGGTGATTCATATATAAAAAAAAAAAAATTAAATTAATTAAATGTCGATAATAACTTAATTAGATGACTTTTGTCTTTCAAAGTAAGCAATCTCAAAAATAAAACTTGTTATCTTTTTATTTTTTAAGCAAATGTGCTCTCGTCATGTAATTGCTAATCTTGATCAATCTATTTTTTACATTAATAATTTGCTCAACAAACTACACTAATCCTTCACTAGCCATCTTACTCTAATTCATGGATTTTGGAAAAAAAATTAAAAAAAAAAAAAAGTTCTTTGCAATTGAAAGAAGTCCATTGATTGGGTTGAACCTCTACCAATTCCCATGGAGTGCCAACACATCAATAATCAAATTTTCTAATAATATGACTTTTATGTGTCGCCCTTGTTGACTTGTAGACCATGAAGAAGGTATCCAACAAAGAAAGGTTGATAGATTCATTCAAATTGGTCCAATTTCAAAACAAAAAATCTACTTTCTCAACCTCACCCACCAAATCAAGGTTGCTTTCATGCACCTCATTAATCTATGGATTATTCCTTCTTCATATGAATGATGAAAATTATACATATCATACTTTTAAATTGAAACAATATAATCACATATATTGACAGATGTCAAGTAACATATACTAATAAATAACAGTATCAAAAGTTAAAATTTTCATTACATATTGAGAATTATGTCACAAGCATACTTTAATTTTTCTATTCAAATTAAAACATTTGACTACATCAATTTTTAGGAGTCTATACCTCATTTGATACCATTTATGAAAGATATTTGTGCATCTTTTAATATTAAAAGTTCGACCAAATGATTGGTATAACTTTCAAAATTAGTTTATGAGACAAAAACAACTTTAATAAGAAAAAACTAACTATTAATAAGTTAAAAAAATAAATATTTTTATCTTCTGTATTTAAATTATCAACTTTAAACTAATCAAAAACTCCATCAAATAGGATCATTATATAATCTTTGGATGAACAATTCTTCTCTCTCCTTTTCATCGAATCAAGAGAATAGGGCTTGGAGACGACGGTTTTGACCGTCACTGCCTTAATAGAAGACTTAATCTATTTTTGTTCAAAACTATGATTAGTCCCTAATTTAAAGAATCCACCTAATCCATGAGAGAAAGGGGCCACACTGTCTTGAGGCCTTATTCATTGATTGGGCAATGAAAAGACAAGAATGCCCTTCCTTCAATTTCTAATTGAAAATCATTAGGGACATTATTGTCTTTTTACTTCTAATAAAAAAAAAATTTGATCCAAAACATGAGTGTAAATAGCACTAGCCTATCCATTTTATCATTTTTTTCCTCCAAATTTTCATTTTTAATTCTTTAATAAAAAGTAAAGCAAGGCAACGATTCCATATGATTGCATATGCTACTTACGTAAATATATGTTCAAACATTTCTATGCTTTCAATGGTATCGATAATGTCTATCTCAAGAAGTCTTCCTCAATTCTTGTTGAAATATTCAATTGATGTTTTTGAATAGAATAATCAAAGTTCCTAAAACAATGACACTATCTTAAATACTATTAGTATTATGACATTATAGTTAATCTTATCGATACGACTCTTAGATTTTTTGGATATAGTCATAAAAAAGTGGTAGCGTAAAATTAAGTTTAGTTCAATTAACCGAATGATACGCTAAAAAAGACATATACATGGATGATTGTGATGTTCTAGCCCCAATATTTTTTAGTATTATTCAATGTAACATGAGGTTTATTTACTGTTAGAGTTGGTTGAATATAAGGGTAGCATTCAGTGAATGTGAAAATACAAAAAGCTTAATCAATTATTAATTATGACTGATTTAATTGATCGGAATTTGCATTTCAAAATCTGTTTAACAATCTTTAAATAAGCAAGCTTTATAGATGAAGAAATGTTGAAGGTACAATATATATTTTTGGTTAGGTTAAAAATAAGCAACTTTTCTTTTTAAAAAAGAGAAGAAATGCCAATAGAATTGTTAAAAGACAATTTTACCCTCTAGACATTGAAAATTTTTGCTATGTCTAGTTTGGGGTTTTTTTTATTATTATTTTTTGATAATCGAATGTCCGAATCAGTTTACGCGTACTTCAACTAATTTCAATAGACCAATCACATACAACGCTCCAAAGAACTTATTGCAATAAGTGAGTATTGAATCTAATACTTCACGAAGCATACCTCAGACCCCATGCTAGGTCAAACCCCTTGAGGTTGTCCATTTAGCTATGTTAACAAGGTTTCACAATACTACAAGAATAATATGATAATTTCTCATCAAAAAGCAAAAGTTCAAAAGACACACAAATGGGAAATTTTATTTCCACACAGGTAATTATTTCAGTGCACATTTTTTCTCAATACACACACTTATTAATTTGATTATTAATTAATTTTCTCAATTCACATACTAAAAGTTACAATTATACTCTTCACTCATAATCATTGTGCACACACTACTCAACCCTTTTTTTTTCTTTTTTTACATTTTTCAGTTTGGGGATTTCGGCACTGGTTATTTGAAATTATATATTTAATTTGAAACTTAACTTCCGAATAAAAGTGATTAGTTCAACAAATTTGTCCTCAAAAAAAAAATAATAAAAACTTTTGACAGTTGATGTTCAAATATAATGAAATAATTCGGCAGTTGACGTCCAAATATAATGAAATAATTCGGCAGTTGATATCCGAATATAATGAAATAATTTGGTACTGGTTATTAGATTGAAAATCGCAAAAGGAAAAAAAAAATTGCACAAAAAAAACTAACATTTTCATCACTAATAGAATATAAACCTAGAGATTAAAGTAATATGAGAGTTGTTATGAAAATATTGATTTGCAAGCAATAGAGGAATATAGAGTAGTGTGTAGCAAGCAAAATGACAGCAATGGAAAAATTAGAGTATAATTTTTTTTTTACTCAAAAAGTGTTCATTGAGATTTTTTTTTTTTTTTTTAAAAGATGTGTACAGAAAATATTTTCATATAATATTATGAGTGCTAGTGGATGTCCATTAGAATCATTTTAGTTTAGGATATAATTGTCATTAAAATACTATTTCATTAAATGTGTGCACTGATATAATTAGATGTACGGAAATAGGAATTTCCCACACACAAACCTCTTCATATAAAAAAGTTATTTTTTTAGATATTACGAAATGCTTCAATTTTTTTTAAATTCTAAAAAAAAGGAAGAAAAAAAAAAAAAAACACAATTTTCCAAATATCAACATTTAGGGTTATAAAAAAATATTAATGAAACCAAACCGAGTGTTTCAAATTGACCAAAATTTTAGTTTTTGGTTGGTTTTTGCACTGATATAATATTTTTTATATTCTAATTTTTTAAGTGTTAGAAGGTAAATCTCTAATGCTACACATTTAACGATAGAAGTTAAGAGGAGAGATATTTATAGAGCATTTTCATCCATCACTTTTTATTTATTTTCGGTCATGAAATTCTATATATTTTTAATCTTTCATGAATCCATTATTTACACTAAACTAACAAAATCGATCATAATATATGCAGTCAGTTTCAATTCCTCAACTATCAAAACCAAAAAATTTGATTCATTTTAATACTAAATTATCTCTCAATCCTAATCAAACCGAACCACTTGCATTTCTATCCATCAATGATAATGAAGCTGCAGAAAAATGTAACAAGTTAGCTTCCTAGAAATTGGTAAACATCAAGAAAGCAATGCCACGAATTGTTTGGCACAGAGGAAACAGGTCAGAAAGTACCTAGAAACCAATTTATATTGTATTAGTTTTGTAAAGAGACTAAGAAGTCCCTATCAAACAAGACTCAAAGAAGATTAATTAAACAAAAAAATTAAAGAGTATCCAATCAGTAAAAACAGATAGTGACATTATGTGTGGACAAACATTATTAAAGCACATGGATTAACTTCAAATTTAAAATTAGAAAATATATTAATAAATAAAATCAGGAGACTTTAGACCCAAAGAATGGATGTGTGGACAAACATTAAAGCACATGGGGCATAGATAAAAATTTAAAATGATAATTATGAGAAGGAAAAACAAAATCAAGAGACTTTTGAAAACTACCCCCTAGACCTAGAATTCAAGCCG